CAGGACACAGTGACCCTTTGGGCTGCCAGGACACACTGGGGACTCAGATCCAACTTAGCACCGACCAGGACCCCCAGATTCCTTTCTGCAGCGCTGCTCTCCRGCCTTTCATTCCCATTCTGTCCCTGCATCCAGAGCTGCCCCATCCCAGGGCAGGATCCAGCCCTTGCCCTYSTCACACATCACACTGTTGGGGATTTCCCAGCCCTTACATTTATCATGGTCTCTGTGCAGGGCAGAGTTTACACGGTATTGGAGGCAGTACTCATCCTACAAACAAATTCCTGATCCTATGGAGGCATCATCCCTGAGAACTGGGGAGCTCAACACAGCAGCAATTGTCTCTCAGACGATTCAGCATCTGTGTGARGCATTAGCAAAATGAGTAGCTGAGACATCAAGCAGATGCAGCCTATTTAATTACGGTCTCTGACTGCAATAAGCTAAAAGAAACATTTAGCTCTAGAAAAAAAAAAAAAAAAAAAAAAAAAGAGGCACAGAGACCAAAGCATCCCTGACATTGCTTGGAGATGATATCATCTGTACAACACCTACTTCCACAGGCAGGAGTCACAGCTGACACCGCCCCCGCACACAAGGGAAAGGCAAGGTTAGGGACAGTTGGCAAATGGGACATGCAAAGCACCTGGATGGTATCTGCAAGCTGTAAAGGTGAGGGAGAAACCACTCCCCCCAAAACAAACCTCAGTACATTYGGTTGCCTCCTCCTTTCAGCCAGCCAAGTTCACAGCAGACGTCACCGGTGCTCTGAGAGGACCTTGGCCACCGCTCAGGATCACAGAGCCCATGACCCCTGTGAGCTGCCCAGAGCACAAACACACCTCCAGCTTATCCCAAGGACACCAGAGGAGCAGCTCCCTACAATGCTGGACTTGCCCTCYCTTCCCCTYCCATCCCAAAATCTCCTTTTCTGACTCCCTGCTCWTGCAGCTCCAGTCCTGTGCTGGTTTTGCTGCCAAGGCTGTTGGCATTGTCCTGCCATTCCTCTTCCCTCGCTGGGAATGGTGGATCACATGGAGCTGCCTTGCTSTAACATCAGGCTCTTAGCAGAGGAAGCCCAGGCAGCTGCTTCCCAGCTCTTGGTCATTTTTAAAGGCAGTTCAGAGTCTGGAAAAGGGGAGAGTCACCTCCACCAAAACACCGGGAAACTGCCTCCCCTTGCGCCCTGCTGCAGCCATCCTGAGCCTTTCCAGAGCCAGCAGAGTTCCCGACAGATCCTGCCCTCCCCACAGAGGCAGAATGGCCTGGAAAGCGCTTCAAGAGTCCCATGACTGCTCCATCAGTGCCAGCCCAGCAGCACTCTGTGCTCCCCCCTGCTGCCGACACCGTGCAGGGCTTTAACACCAGCCATGGAAAACCAAAACCAGCAAGGCAGGGGAAAACCAGCAAGGCAGCAGTCAGCAAGCTCCTACCTGTGTTCCTGGCCTCAGCAGGTCACTCCTGCAGAGGCTCAGCCCTTCTCTGCACCCTCTGGCAGGCGCCAAGGCCGAGCTTCCTTTTTCAAAAGCGGGTAAAAAACCTCCCCGTTCGTTTCATGGGCGGCTGCAACCCGGAGGCTCTGCAGCTGGGGAGGGGTCAGACACTTCCCTCCCCGTGACCCCAGCACTGGGGCAGCCACATCCTGCTGCCTCTGGTGAAACAGCCCTTCAGCACAGYCCGGGGAGTGACACAGCTCTTAAAAGCAGGGATTTATCCAGTTTCTTTTCCAGGAAGCCAGGCTGCTKTCCYGGCATCTCACCGAGTCTAGCTGCTTGTAACTGAATCCTTGGGTGGGCAGCCTGTGACAGCCACTGTGTCCCCACAGACCCCCAGAGGAGAGGGGAGCCACAATCCTGCTTCCCCCTGAGCCACTCAGTACCATTAACATCAAGCCARAGTTCCTAACATGGGACACAAAACCCCCCTGAGTGATAAAACCATCCTGATAAAGGTATTTTGCATGCAYTGAGCATTTCAAGTAAAAACTTGAATTTACAGAGTGAGAAAGAAAASGAAAGCAGCTCCAAACAGGCGACTTGTAGAAAGCAGCACAGACAGACGCACACGCACATTTTTTTCATAATTCCACCCCCCTCCTTTTACAAATCCCTTCCCACGGCCACTCTGCACTAGCTCAGTGTCTTGGGACAGGATGATCCTGGTTTTCTCCGATTAAACGAGAGATTTTACTACAGAGGGACCAGAACAATCCTGGCAGCCGCACAGCACTAATGGCAGCCAGTTCCTGYGCCTCCACAGCCAGTCTGGCAACAAACAGGAGTTTGTCTTCCCGGGACGGGACTTCATCTGCTCTTTTGAATGGATTTGTGATAGGAGGAGCGAAGGTCTGCCCCGTGCTTACCTCGGGCAGGGCGGGGCAGGGCGAGGACRGCTCAGTGTGGCTACAAGGCACCTCTGGCCATTCATAATCCCGGCCAGCCGGCACTTCCACGTCAGCCGCTTCCTGTCTGGCAYCGGCTCCAGCCTCCCGACCCGGGGAGCTGCCAATGTTTTCCCAAATCTAATCCTTCCCCTCTGCAAGCTTTGCCTTTCCTCCCGCAGGATCGCTCCGTGGTGCTGCAGGAGAGCGGAGCCACTGCCATCACCTTCAGCGTCACCTTTCTTGCCTGCCCCCTGCGCTCAGTCCCAGCAGCAGGAGCTGCTCGGAAGTTTCTGGAGAAGGAGCAGCTGCACCTCCAGCTCCAGCTCATTCTGCTACTCTGCAGGACAACATCCACATTTTTCTCTTAGAAAGTGCTTTAGCAGCAGCCTTTGCAACCAAATCCAAACACGGGCACACTGGAATTGCTGAATTCCCAAGGTTTGGGCAAACAAAGAGCCTTTTGTCTTTCACCAGAGTCAGCTCTAAGAATGTCCTGCCTGTCGCCAGCCACCTCCAGGCCCTGCTATTCCAATCTGCTGCACAATTTGGAAATTCCCAAGAAACTGTACAGATACCAGTTCTCCTGGGATTTCCCATGTCTCCTGGGACTTCCCAGTTCTTCCAGCCTTTCCCGGAAAGAGGGTGGCTTAGGAGAAGGGAAGAGGTTGGTTTAAGAGCAAGACAGGCTCTTTACACATCTCCAAGGTATGGAGAGGCAGAGCCCATCTGCAAGGCCATGTGCATGAGAACAGGAAAAAGCATAATAAAAGACCAAAAATAGCTATTCTGGGCTTTAACTGGCATGTCCTCTGCCCCTGCAAGGCTGAGCATTCCAACCAATCCTAAAGTCAAGTGACTTTATGGAATAAAGGGAAAAGCCCTGTTAAATGAAGCCATGGCTGGGATAGCAGAAGGCCCAGTGGAGGTGAGGGGAACTCTGGCAGAGTCCATCCAAGAGCTGCAGGTGGGAACGGAGCAGAGAGCCCTGCAGTGGGACACCAGCATCTATCCCAGAGTTTACTGCTCTGCTCCACACTCAGGATTTACATCARACCGTGGGCAGTGACCAGAGGGATGTTAAGGATGACGCTGCTCACACTGCACAGGGATGCTGAGGGAGTGCAGGAAGGGAGTGAGGAGGCTGGAAAACCCAGTCTGGCAGGGGAGAGGGAAGGCAAGAAACCCAAAGTTCCAGTGTGGTTTGTCCCCCTGGCCTTCTTCCCCACAGTCACAGAGAGAGAAAAGCCACACGAGAAAGTCAGTTCTGTGAAAGGTCCCCTCCTGCTTCCCTCTCCAAAGGGGAAGGTCAGGCAGCAGATGCTGCAATTTCCAACYGATTCCACRGAACAGCAGTGACTGCAGGGAGCCSCAAGGAGCCCCGGGTGTTACTGACTCAGGGCCAGCCCTGCTGCCTCTTACGTGACATCTGCATCCATTGCAATGTCAGAGCCCGCTGCTGGAAGGGCTGCATGGTACGGCCGGGATGGAGCTGCGTGTGGAGGCACAGCTAATCCGCTGCAGGCTCCGCGGGGCTGGGCTAAGCTGACAAGCTGGGTCACGACTCCAGCACACAGGTTAACTGCACGCACAAGTATTTCCAGGATAAAGCACAGCCAGGGACAGCACGGTAGGAGCAGCTCCCTCTTTGCCAGGGCAGCCTGATCATTCGGGAAGGCCTCTTACTGTTCCCACCATGGCTGGAAGGGCAGGATGGAGTTTATCAAGTCCCAGCTGACTGTTCATCTCTCCCTGCTTGTGCTGGCTTCATGCTTGTGCTGTCCTCACCAAACAGAGATATTTCTGAGCCCACAGCACTTCCATTTCCTCTAACTTTGGGATCTGCCCCCACGCAAGTCAAAGCTAACATCAGTTTGGAGCCTGAAATTTGCATTGGGATGATAAAATGACTATGGAACCATTCTAAAAGTGGGCTGAGACACCAGGAAGTGTGGGATCACACCCCAGGGCTGAGCCGGAGCACGAGCTGGCCACACGGCCAGCCTTTCCCAGGGCACTGATAACTCCAGGGACAAACACCCCTTTTCCCCATGTTAATGTCACGCAGTGGGATGAAGAGCAGGATTGTTTCTCGCTGACAGCAGAGGCCCACGAGGCCTCTCCTGCCCTGGCAGGAGATAGGGCAGTAACTCAATCCCTCAGCACAGCTCCAGGCAGGGAATGAGACACGGATGTGGAGCTGGAGACCACCTCAACACCAACCACATCAGACAGGGAGGGGAAAGAGAGAAGGGAACAAAAGCAGCCAGAGAACAGCCCCAAGAGAGCCCTGCAGAACATACAGGGCCTTTCAGTGCAGCCATGGGGCCAGCTCAGACCTGCTTCAACTCAACCATGGTCTGGGTAGTTCCAGCTTATCTCCTGTGCCACAGGTTCCATGGAATCAGCACAGGGTCACACATGGGAGTGTCTGGCAGCATCACCACGGCTGTCTCGTCTCACACTGACTCAACACCAGCACCAGCCCCTTGGGACCTCAGCCAGGTTTTCTGGAGGAAGCTGTCACAGAGTGATGGATTGTTTTGCTCTGGCTTTGCCCACTTGCAAAAGTTGCTGTTTTGTTTGGTTTATTCCTGGCCTTCACTGCCTCCATCCCTTCCTCTGCCCTCCCTTCTGCTTCACCTACCCCGAGCAACATTCACTCAATTTCACCAGGAGCAGAGCAGCACTTCTACCACAGCAGCAGCTCCAGAGGACAGCAGGCAGCAGATCAAMCCAGGCCTCAGAGATAATTCTGCCTCCCAGGGGCATGTGGAAAAAGCAGGATAAAGGTGCAGCCTAAGGTGCACTCTTTATTGACAGCATTAGCTGGATATTACGTATTCCTAAAGATAAGCTGATAAACCCCCAGCAAAGCTGGTTCTGGATCCACTTACAGCAGCATTTATGCCTCAAGAACCAGAAAATACTTCCCTGTCTTACTAGAAATGAAAACTCAARGTTGAAAGCAATTCCCTTCCCAGACCTGTGGGCAGGACTGGGAAGGTTTTGCAATCTCTGTGCTCTGACCCCAGATACTTTCACTGCTCACAAGGGACATCTTCCCTTTTAGTTTGGCCCTGGACATTCCTGTCCCTCACACAGGAGCARCAGTGACCAAGCACAGTCTGACCTCTAAAACGGGATTAAATAACCCCATTCCAGTGCGGGGGTACGTTTCATCCCATCAGCGGAAGGGCCATGCTGGATGTGAACAAGGAAGCAGCTGRCAAACAGCTCCAGAGGCAGCTGAAGCAAGGCAGGAGACCTTTGCTCTGGATGCTGAGTTTACCCTGAGCTCCCCAAGCCTTGGCCAAGCCCATGAGAGAGCCCAGTTTGATGCCTGTGGAACCCCACGAGTCCAACAGAGCATCCCAGGAGCTGCAGGGAGAGCCAGGCACAGGGACCCAGCTCCCTGCTCAGCCCCTGGATTCAGCTCTTCATGAGTGGGCAGGTTTTGACACCACTGGCAAGAATTCCCAAAGCTCCTCTCCCTCTTTCTGGGGATTTTGAAGTGTCACAAGTGACTGAGACAGAAAGYGAATCTGAAAYATGGGATCCACAGTCCAGGGAACAGCCATAGACAAACAGGGAGCTGGATGTGAGCCTAAAGTTGGGAAAGGAAGCAGAGTGCAAGGACAAAGCCCTGGGGACTGTRATAAACAGGTGGCTGGGGGAAGTTTCACATCTCCCAGCAAAAATCCCTCCCTACCCTGCAACTTGGCAGAAGATTTCCAGACCGGAAAGGGGCTTTTAACAATGAGATGGAAATCTAGAACGTGTGGCCACTCTGCAGCTCCAAGCTCTAGAAGGGAATCCTGCCTTTCACTAGCACTGACAGAGATGCTTTACCCAAACATCTGTGCTGGACACTGGACAACTCCATATCCTCTGTCCTCTCTCTCCAGAGGACTTCCTGCCCTTTTTCCCTTTGCCTGTCCTTCTCACAGAGCTTTCTCTGAAGGAGCTGAGCGTGCTGTGCTGCAGATCAGAGCAGAGGCAGCTCTCTAAGATCTGGATTCCTGAGCCCGCAGCAAGAGACAGAAGCAGAACAAGAGTTTGCTTTCAAGTTGTCCTGACAAGTTCTCCCTCATGACAGCTGAGCCATGGCACAYCATGACCTGAAAAAAATGGAAAATTTCCCATTCCCCGACCAGTTCAGACACTGATGGGTTTGAAC